ATGTCTTAACTCACACTCTTAGAAATCAATTTGCCACCTCAACTTATCAACATAGCACTGGAGGATATTTCACTATTAACCAAAAATTATCTGAAATAAAAAAGCAATCGCTTATCCCAATGGTGCTTCAAATATGCCATCTCATATTATCTTCCATGCACACTAAAACTAAATACTCCGTAACGATATTGGCTTTAAGAAAAGCTGGTATATGATACAATAACACATATGTGAAAATAGCTTCTCATAATCCAGCTTCGCAAATAATCAAATATTCATTCTGCTAGACTCTTTTTTCATTCATTCATTCATTCATTCATTCATTCATTCATGTCATCATTTTTAACAATTTTTTTTTTTTTAAAAAAAGAATCAGCCTCACCTCTTGGTTTAAAATACTGGCTTGCACTAACCTGCGTAATCTAAATAATCATGTCAAACCACTGGTTATCCATTATTACTTGAACAATGTGAATTCACACAATATTCATAAAACCAAGTCATAATCCATGGTTTACACAGGGTTTCACAGAACATGCTGTGCCAAACTAAAATAAACCACAACACAGCTTAGTATGTTGTATGACCTTAGTCCATTAGTTTGGATGTAAACAGAAGCAATTGTTGATTGGATGCTTCTTGAATACTGCATTTCATCCAGTAGTGGAATGAGGCAGCATGGAAACAGAGCACGCAAGGCTGAGATTTATTACATCAGAATCAGCCTTAGCTATTCAGTAGTAATCATCACTGAATAATTAGGTTTTTAATCACATTTTGATTTAGCCCCAACTATGCAAGTTTTGCTTCTATCTCCTCACATCCCAAAGTTATACAAAAACCACATTTAAAACCGAAGTGTTCAAAAATCAGTTTGTGAAAATAAAAAAATCCCAATATGTATGCTCTAGTTCTTAAAATAGCACTTGGATCCCGATCTATATTTATTCTGAAAAAAGGCCATTAATCAAACTGCAAATTAATGTGTTTTAAATAATGATCCAAACAGAGTAAATTATTAGAAGGAATACTTCAATTATATTCTGCATTGGTCAGACTCCATACTGAGTACGATGTACAGTTCTGGGCACTACATTTCAAGAAAGATTCGGCCAAACTGGAACGAGAACCTACCAAGAACAACAATGAGGATTATCTGGAACTGGAAATTAAATATCATGAGAGACAATTGAGGGAACCTGGTATGTTTAGCTTTGAGAATATATAACTGAGGGGGGACATGATCAAATTCAAGAACTTGAAAGGAAGTGACACAGAAAAGTGTCTCTTTTGTTCCAGAGTGCAAGACACAGAAGAAGTCTTAAGGTACAGGAAGCAAATTCCATTTCAGTATTAGGAAAAATATCCTAATGGTAAAAGTAATATGACAATGTAACAATGATCAAAGCTCCCCTTCACAATATGTTTCAGTGAAGGCTGGATAGCCTTCTTGTGGTTTTATTGTTGTGAGCCACCCAAAATTGTGCTTTAAGATGGGCAGCCATATAAATCTTTTAAATAAATAAATAAATCTGTTGAGATGGTTCACCATCAACTATCTTACAAAGTAAAACTGCAGGCCATAATATCCTATGCTATGATAAATGTGTGGGTTTTTTTAAAGTTTGAAAATTGTTTCTGAAGCAACAAACTAACTTTTCCATAAAATGTTACTAGGGTTTAAAGGTTTGTCAAATTCCTACGAATACAAACTTCCAATTCCTTGAAATTGATTTCTTTTTTTAAAAAAGGGAGGAGGGGGGTCTTCTTTTACTACAAAGTGTTTTAAATTCTAACTTTTTCTATCTACAAGAAGTTTGTGTAGCCCAGTAAGAAAAATAATTTGCTTTTTAAAATGACTACCATGATGCCTAATTCACAAATCTGCTACACCTTACATATATTCACAGTCTCTTTCACATATACAAACACTAAAACACACCAACCTCATTTGTCCCTACAATAAATAGTATCAGATCTATCCAAAGTTCCTTTGCTACTTTTGAGGCCTGTCTGCAGCTAAGAGAAAAAAATTCTGGTTGATATTTGAGGTACAGGTAGTCCTCGACTTACGAGCACAGTTGGGACCAGAACATCATCACTAAGTGATGCAGTCATTAAGTGAGTTGCACTCAATTTCTGCTATGGTCATTCAGCAAATTACCATGGTCATTAAGTGAATCATTCAGTTGTTAAATGAGTTCCCCCATTGACTCTGCTTGTCGGAAGCCCTCTGGGAAGGTCACAAATGGCAATCATGTGGCCCCGGGACACTGCAACTGTCATAAATACATGCTGGTTGCCAAATGTCCAAATTTTGATCATGTGGCCGCGGGGATGCTGCAATGGTCATAAGTGCGAGGACCGGTCATAAGTCACTTTTTTCAGCATTGTTGTAACTTCAAACGATTGTTAAACAAATGGTCGTAAGTCAAGGACTACCTGTATTTTGTAATTGGCTGACTGGATCCTAAGTATAGATACTTGAAAAAGAACATCTGCTATAAAGATTCTGTCAAGGCCAGGATACATGCACATTGTGCCTTTAAAGGGCTTACCTACCTTATCAGATAGTATCAGCTCCATGATTTCAGTGGATCTTGAGCTAAGTGACATGAGTAAATTCACCTCTTTTTTACTGTTGTCATTGCTGTTCAGCCATTTACACTTTTTCTATGGACACAACTGAGTCATGCATCCAGAATGAAGGGGAAAAATTAAGAGACAACTGGGTCCCCTGGCTTAGTGGCCCAGGTAACCAGACAAAAAAAGCAAGGAGCAAGGGAGTCCATTCTTATAGTCTTTGGCTAGTGCCCAACAATGCCAAAAGTTGATGCCAATCCCAACTTCAGATGTTAAGTCTTCAGGATTGTTGATCAAAAATAAGCTGGATGTCCCTAGTTTCAATCTCATATCAACTCTGAATCAGCTGTGACCCTTTCCATAAAAGATTTTTTAGAGATTCTTACTAATTAATTACTAATCAATATACTATCATAAGACATCCTGAGTTTCTCCAGTAGGTGGCATGCAAATCTTTGTAAATAAATAAATAAATAATAGGTGGATAATACTGCTAATCTTGCAGGATCTTAACAGCAGCAGCAGGAAGAGGTGGCGACAATAGCATGACTATCAACTCAATGCCCTCCAATTATTACAACCCCCATAGGCCCTAATTAGTAAAACAAATCATCTGAATTTATGGGAGATGAAGCCAAAACCTCTGAAAGGTACTGAAATCCCTGTGCCTGAATTAAGGATTACTAATGTCTCCTTCAAAAATTACTATAGTAGCGCCAGAGCAATCCAGATAAGCCTAAGAAAGCTAGAAGCAAACTTGTAAAATCTAAAGTAACACCACTGCAGTAAGACGCCACAGCATGGCCTCATCTCCCATAGCATAAGATTTCTCATGCCGCAAGAATGGTGCTTCAGCAACTCCTACACAGCCAAATTAAAATAGAAAACCAAACACAAAAAACAATCCAAGATAACATCCAAGTGCAATACAATATTACCATGTATAATTTGAAAAGATGTGTTTCTAATAGCTCAACTCAATCAAGCCAAATTTTAAAACAACTAGAGCAACATGTTCCCACCATAGTAAAAATTAAAGGTAAAATTTGCATGAAGAACGTTAACAAAGTATTCACTACCAAGCATTCACTACCAAGCATTCATAAGTTTGATAAAATATGTTAAAAATTTATTAAATCGTTTTTAAAATATCAACAGCAAGCTATAATACCTTGTAAAACTGCATATGTGGCTCTGCAGGGTATAGTACAGTATTAAATTATACATCAACTTCCTGAATCCAAAATATGCAGAAGCCCAAAAGCAATGGAAAGAAATTGCTAGACAATGTGAGAATCTTCACTGCAAAACTTAACCATTTTCATTTCCTCTTTTCTCTAATCAATCACAATTTTTACTATCATTTGAGGTAATTTAAAAAATGAAGGAGAATACCAGAAAAAGTCTCTGACCTAAGAAGAGCACATAAACTTGAAGAGCCATTACTTTTACCAAACTTAACATGTGTAGTAGCTTTTTTTCTCCCCCTCTTCTTTTTAATGTGACCTCTAAAGGGAGAGCCACTTTTTTAGAACTGAAAGCATCAATCTAAATTAATCCCTAGTGATTTATACTGCTCTATATAATCTGCAATTGCTTTTCAGAAAAATGCACCCAGGTCACTACATTTATTAAAGCAACCAAATATGATATTAAACTTTTCATAGACTCTGTGAGACACCAGAGTAAAGTCAATTGGAAATGACTATGCAACTAATTGCCCAGACGTTTAAATTAAATCCAGAATTATAAACCATATATTTAAAAACCCTGGCGTCTCAAGTACAGGGGTGGAGCAAATTAACTACCTCTCCCATATGTACTTTATGCATTCTTTTCAAAGAAAAAGTGAAAAGGGCCTTAATTTTCTTTTCTGAAGCAAACAATAGCTCAGTTTGCCTTCAGAAAAGACTCTTGTTCTCTGCCAGATGCATTTTAATTCAAACACAGCTCATTATACAGCACCAGGAAACTGGCTACCAGTTACATTACATTTACCCTTCAAAAGAAAAGTATGTGCTAGGTGGCTGTTAATAATGCCTTCAACAGTTTTAGATGTACCTGAAATTGCTTTAAGGCAGCATCCTTTCAAAACTTTTGTATGATGGGAACCAGTACTCCCTGTTTCCAGCATGAGAAGTCATTTCATATAGAAGCAAGGTCACCAGATCTGGACTTCAAATTTTCGGTCAACTGCTAGATAGCAGCAGAGAGATCACCTCTCTGCTGCCAACTGGCAGTCAGCTGGATTTTGAGGTTGAAATCTGGTAGCTGTATTTCACTACTGTCTTGTCAGTTTGCATTACCTCTAGCAAAACACATCTCCAGGAAAGAGAGTCACCCCTTTAAATAATTATCTCAGACTAGATTGCTAACATGAAGCACTTTTAAATATATACAAAGGCCTTTATGCGTACTTCCTGCAGGTGCACAGACATGTGTCCCAGTTGGTCTTGGCGTCTTTCTATCAATTGCCTTTCTGACCGGATTTCTCGTTCAATCCCTTGAAGTCTTCTCTCTACCCGCTCTGATACCTATATAAGCATGTAGGTTTCAGAGAAAAAAACTTTTGTTAAAATGTTAAGAAAGCAAACATAAGTGCTCCAGATTTACAACAAAAGAAAATGAAAGTAAATCCCGAAGCCTAATTACATATTTAATATATTCCAAACACTAACAGTATAATAAGATGTGCTTATTGCAGTAATATGAACTGGATAGTACCCTGAACAAAGCAGAACCTATATGGTTATGTCTGGGTAGAATCTGTTTATTGACAGAAGATTCTCATCTATCTTTTCAACCAGCAGAATGGGGAAAAGAGCTATCATCAATTATTCCCCTTGCCCTAGTTTTGCTCTGACCTCACAGTTGATCTACTAACGTTCAGAACAAAATGAGAAATAGCATGGAGGGACTTCAGGGTATAAGGAAATTGCTGCAATCATTTTCTTTTGCATTGCACTGATAGAATCCTCCACTGGACCACAGGAACCTCCTTACCTTGAATAAGATCTTTGCTTTAGCTAGCACAGATAGCAGAAGATCTTAAAATTATGAAACAAGGTTTCTCCATCCCTATCTGGAAATGCTGGAGTTTGAATCTACAATGTTCTACAAGCAATGAATATGCCATAGTGTTGTGATTTAGCCTTTTATAAAGCCTATCAAAAAGATCTATAAACTCCTAACAAGACATATTTATATGAGGTGGCCTTTATACCACTAGCTAAATGTCCATCAGTGGAAGAATAAATTTAGATATAACCTGCAATCTTACAATTAATCTGTAGCTACTCAAGCAAAAAGTTTTCACTGATGAAATATCTTTTGACCACTGCTACCAATTAACTTTCCTCCCATTACCATTTGCACTAATAACAGAAAGGGTAGGAAAAGCAAGAATCAGTGTATTAGGCTATTCTAACTGTTTGTAGCAAGTTCTGCATTTGTTCATTTATTTGATGATCTAAGACTATGAAAAAAAGTGTAACCCAGAAGAAATCTTAGAAACCAAAGCTAGGATAAAAAGAATTCTGTTCACTGGTGGGGCTTCAGGTACCGCCTAGTTCTTTCTCATTCCCCCTATAATAAAAGCAAAACAAAATTATGTAAAATAAAATGAATCCAGATATATAACTTTGTATTCATTGTTGACTTCAGTCTTTTTTACTTCCATTCCTTTTCCACTTGAAAAATTACATCTATATCCTCTAAAATTTAAGAAGTTCTCAACTGGTAAGGCAGTGTTGAAAACCTGATCTGCTTAAATTCAGCAAGGTTATTACATCCATTTGCCTCCATACTATATCCTGGTACTATAGAAAGTGGGTGTTGTTTTTGTTTCCAGCAGAGTATACAAAGCAATAGCCATCAGTCAAAACACCATTGCCCCCAATCCAGCAAAGGAGATTCCCATGCTAAAGCTGAGTTATGCAGCTACTCCAGAAACAAAGCTGAATCTGTACTCCAACATTCACATCTGGATCCTGTTAGATTAGCAGGAAGAGCCTTTTGATACTGGCAGGAATGTACATCTCCTCCCAGGGCCGCTAGCTGTGCACATGTAGAATTAGATCAGGACAATAATGTAAAAAGATTGTATTTCCATATATCAATGCCAGTATATTTCCATATATCAGTGCCAGGACTTTTTTTTTTTTATTGGTGTTGAAATTTTACTGAATGACAAATCAAGAACTGAATTAGAATAGCTTCTAACTTTTAAATAATAAAAATATGATTGAATGAATCAGGAATTTCACTTTAATTGTAATTACTTGCTTCAGTTTTCTAACTTTGTAAGGTAGAGGGGACACTCAAAAGTATGATAGGAGTTTCATTCTTTCCTTCATTTATTTGCAGACACTACCCTCTAGTGGTAAGTAACATTTAAACATTCTAGCTATATGGTTACACTAAATGTAGTAACATAAATACCCTTAATATGTCTTTAAACTCTTCCATTTGCACAAGTGGTTTTCAAAGCTCACTAGAAATGATATACTGCTGCCTAGTTTACTCTGTTTCCCACATAAATTCATTCATATATGCTCTCTACAAAAGATGCATTTTTCTTGCTTTCCTTTTTGGGGGGAAAAAGACATTTTAAAAAATATCAAGGGATGGATAATTAATCCATGGTTACTAAAACTTAATTTCTAATGTACTGAAAACTATTACTTTTCAAATTTGCTCCCAAAGAAACCAATCTTTACCAGAACCAAGGACAGTTAAAAGTCTGAGGAATTATAACAACAGAGTAAAGCCTGTAAAAATTGAAACTGCCATCTACCACTTGTAAGCAGTAAGGAATGGCAATTTGATTTGGAAATGGTCACAGGGTCAGTGTGAGGAATATTCTAGGCAACTGTTGAATAAGGTCAGTCAGATTTGCTTGGAGCCAAAATCTAACTGGGCAGGTCTCACGGAGTTGCCAGAGGCACGTTCCTGCCAACTCACCAGGGAGAACTTTGAACCTGTTAGCCCTGATGAAGTGGACACGATACCTGGAGCTCTAAGCTATCCATGTCTTAGGGTTGGTCAAGGCCTCCTGAGAGATGACATATAGTTGGGTCCATGCAGTGGTTTCTGCTTCTTTGAGAGAGGGGGTAGATCACCTGCTCTGAAAAAAGGTGGTCTGCTCTCCCCTTAAGAAATCATCGCTGGACCCCATGAAATTGAACAATTTTTGTCTACTCTTCACCTTCCCATTTTAGAGAAGGTTGTTGAGGTGACTGACTTATAGCTCCAGAAGGCCCTAGAGTTAATGTATTATCTGGATCCTTTTCACTCATGTTTTGGACCGGTTATAGCACTGAAACTGCATTGGTCACACTTGATGACCTCTGGCAGATCTGGGATGTGGACTGTACATCCATTTCTCAGCAGCCTTCAACACCATGGATCATGGCATACTTCTGGACCAGATTAGGAGTAGGGAAACACATTGCTACACTGATTCTGCTTCTTTTCCAGGACTGTTTCCAGTTGGTATTGGTAGGGGAGAAAAAGTCTACCTTCAGGCTCCTACTTTTCAGGGTGCCTTGGGACTCTATTCTCTCCTATTCAACATCTACATGAAGCCACTTGGTGAGGTGATTCATTGAGAGGGTGAGGTAGCATCAGTATGGTAATGAAACCCAATTTACATCTCCACCCTATGACAACCAAATAATGCCATTAAGGTCCTTTCCCAATGTCTGAAAGCTGTAGGGGATTTGAATGAGGAAGAACAGACTACAGCTCAATGCTGGTAAAACCAAGTAGCTGTGGGTTTTGAGGCTTCCTAGTGCTGGAGATTTTCCATTTTTAATACTGAATAGGGTTGCACATCCCCAGACAGAGTTGGCACACAATTTGTGGTGTCCCCTTGATCTCACAGCTAGAGGACCTTTGCACAAATCTATCTTTTGCACCAAATACACCCATTTCTAGATTAGGAGGCCTTATTCATGGTCATTTATACTTTGTAGTCACCTCCTGATTACTCTAATGCAATGCATTCTATATGGGGCTGCCCTTGAAGAGCATTCAGAAGCTGCAACTGGTCTAGAATGCTGTGGCATAGGGAATTTGGGATATGTCATAATAAGCTTGTATAACATCAGTGCTCTGTGAATTCTACAGGTTTCCAGGTGCAATTCAAAGCCCTAAATGGCACAGGGCCAAGCTCGCAGGACTGCTTGCTGCTTGTTCCAATTATTTCTGCTTACCCTACCAGATCCAACAGGGTAGGTATGCTCTGGGTCCCTTCTACAAAGCAATATTACTCAACAGGACCTAGAAGACATGCCTTCTCTATTGTAATACCTGTCCTATGCAACAGCATCTCTCCCCCTCATCCCCCAAAGATCCAGATGGCCCTGACCCTGTTATAGCCTTCCATGAGTCTTTAAAGACTTTGCCTTTCTCTTAAGCACTGGAGCGGGAGTTTAGGTGAACTCAACTGGTTTGTTGTTTATCTGTCTGCTATCGATTTGCAAGAGGGAATAGACTGTTTGGATCTCAGGCACATTGTACTGTTTGTTAGAATTGTTTAAACTATTTTCGGTTGTTACTTGTGGAAGGTTTTAACATCTCTCAGAGTCTCATTTGCAAGATGGCAGCCACATAAATTGTTAAAATAAATTAAGCTAAGAAGCTTGTCAAGAATGGAGATGTTAAACACTGTCTGCCATCCTGTTATATATAGAGAGAGACTGTACTTGCAGCTGACAACGTGAGAATGGAAAAGAGGTGAGACAAAACAAGATTGTTGTTGTTCACACAGAGAGAGAGTCTCTTATGAGAGGAGAGGAGGGAAGAAGCTGAAATGAGCTAAAAAGCTGGCAGGAAAAGAGTTGTTGGACTCAAAAGAGGAGGAGGAGGAGGAGGGAAAATGGCTAGCAAGCAAAAAGTGAATTATGCAGTTTCAGACACCTGACAAAATATAAGTTCCTCAGTAATTTAAAATCATCAGAGAAGCTGGCATGGAGGTTACTATGCAGGGAGCACCAATCCAGAGTGGGATCAATCTACCCAGCATAGATGCCCAAAAAGGGAGAAGAGGATCGTAAGGTCCATGAAGATTATCAAAGTTTTGCTATCTATGAAAGAATGACAGCCACATTTTAACTCAAGCTCTTGATTAACCCTATGGGGAATTTAATAATAACTGCACCCTTAACAATAGCTTAAGATACTGAATAGAAATATTAATACTTCAGGAAAAGTGTCAATATCTGAATAGTAAAGCAATCAGGCCATACTGTATCCCACTATCTTTTGAAGTCAGCAGGAAGAGAGAGGGATCAGTTTGTATGCTTTAGCCAAATGACACCTGCATAATTAGTCTTGCATGAATGAAAGAGAAACTAGTCCCTTTCCATTTTTGAAATGTTACAAATAACAGAAAAAAAATTAAGATGGTTCTTGTGTGCTCTTTTGTCTGTTCAGTCCTAAAGTACCCCCTCACAATGCTCTTCAACAACTATAAGAAAAAATATTACTGATAACCAATAATGGGTCCATAGGATTCAGCCACAGGAAAGCCAGCAGTAAGAGTCAGTCTTCCCTTGCTACAAATGATGTCCACTAACAGAATGGGTTCACTCTACTCCAAAGGCTGGATCTAGAGCTCCAATATCTTGATTCGCTTGGGAGGGTAGTCTCATTTGACAAGATCCCCCACTCAGAAACAGAACCTTATGTAACTCCGTAAGTCCAGTAGGAGAAAACATAAATGGCTGCAAATGTTTGTTTGACCAGAAAGGGATGAAAATTTGATTGTTATGAAGGGGCAACATCTGCTGATCCTCACATAGTGCAACAAAGGTCAAGTTTTAAAATATATATATTTCTAGATGCCTGTATTATTTTTATTTGGGGACCAGCTAGCATAAATGTTGAAATGGTAATAGCTTGTATAATGAGAACACTTTGTGGGAAGATTCAAAGACATAGGTTGAGAAAGTAGTGTGCAACAAAGGTATGGCCATAAGAAATGAAACCCCTTTCCAGTACAGCTGACTCTTGGACTTAATATTGAAGTATACAAGATTAAATCTGGATTTTTATCCATATAATAAATACCAAATGATTATTGATAGTATTATATTATAATAATATAATAAAATGATAAATGTTTAATCCAGTTCATTACTATACAACAGCTCCAGATGAGAAACTAGACAATGACAAGTGCAATGAATAATAAATCTAATTGTGTTTCTTTCAACATCTCTCTACCAACTTCCACAACAAAGTACAGTGGTACCTCGGGATACGAACACCTCTACTAACGAACTTTTCGGGTTACGAC